CTTAGTCCAAGTTCTTCATAAGTAGTACATGGTATTTCTGTAACACTAGGGGGATTTACTGATTTATTCTCTTCCTTAGTCCTGTTAACCCCTAACCTGGGGTAACAACCTTTCTCGGGAGGTGGTCCTGTTTAAAACACATAGCGCTAAGAGGGGGAGCAAACGTATGTCCTATACGCCAGGTCCCTTGAAACATAAGCTGTGCCGAAGTTTCTTCCCTGCAGTGACTGGGTGGACCGGCTTCCGGCAAATTTCCCCATTTTTATTTTTTAAATGACAGTGCATGTAAATTGGAGGCCACCTCTTGGATTGGGTTGTTTAAGACTCGGAACCTGCTTGTGACTTTGCCAACAGGTCAGTCCGAGGCTTAACCCTATATCGGCTCCCCACACACAGGAGATGTCCCTCACGGTCCCAGCCCTGCGGCCGGACCACCCAGGGGCCTGGAGGGCAGTCCAGAGCTATGAGGGTGGGGGCGGGGGGAGCCCAAGGCTGGGCAGGAAGAGCCCCCAAACCTCCCAGCTCTCTGGCCTAATGTGGAAACATGGCCTGGTGCCAGGGAGACGGGGAGACGTTGGCCTCAGCTGAGTGGGGACAGCAGGGCCATCAGGCCCCTCGTTAAGGTCCTAATGACCCCAAGGCCCCAGAGGTGCTGACGGCCAAGGCGGGTTCCTGCGCACCCAGCACACTCTGCTCTGGGCAAATGGTCCGGAAAGTGCAGCCTCAGCCCTCGGGCCATCTGCCACCCCCTGGGGTGCCCACCAGCCTGGAAGGTGGGGCTATAAAGCCAGCCGGGCCGGACAGCCCCCAGCCTAGCCCTCCGGACCGCTGCATCCACACGCCGTCAGCAAGCAGGTGGGTCAGGGACGCTGCGCTGCTGGGTTGAGGCTGCGCGCCTGGGTCGGGGTTGTCCAGGATGCGGGCTCTTCCCTCAAAGCGCTGGAGGGTAAGCAGTGGGTGGGGGGTCCCCGCCGGGCACGGGCCCCTCACTGGCATCGACCCCACCCGTCCCCAGTCCTCGACGCCCAGCCATGGCCCTGTGGACGCGCCTCCTGCCCCTGCTCGCCCTGCTGGCCCTCTGGGCGCCCACCCCCGCCCAGGCCTTCTATTTCGAGCACCTGTGCGATGAGGATCTGGCGGAGATGCTGACCATAATATGTGGAGATCAGGGCTTCAGAAATCCCAAGGCCACGCGGGAGCTGCCCGACCCGCAGGGTGAGCCACCACCCCTCACCCCCTCGGTCACATCCTAAAGTGACCGGCTACCTGGCCAGCGTCGGCTCCAGGGACAGAGAGTGGGTGACCCCCGAGGGCGGGCCTGTCCGCTCCCTGACTTCCTTCCCGCCTCAGACAAGCACCTGCCTCCTCCCTCTGCCTCTGACGGCAGCTGCCCGGCAGTGTCGTCTTGGGGTCCGGTCCTGACCAAGGGGGTGCCCCCCTTTCCTGCCCGAATGCCTGTGGGGCCCAGGAGCGGGCCAGGCTGTGTGAGGTTGCCCTGGAGGCTGAAGGCAAAACGCAGGGACCACCCCGGGGGCAGGGCCCGCTCTCCCCTAGGCTGCTCGGGGCAGGGCCAGGTTGGGGGTCCCCGGGCGGCCCTGATGGCAGATCCCCATCTCTCCTCCTGGGCAGAGGGGGAGGTGGACATGGGCGCAGGTGGCCAGAAGGCCCTCACCCTGGAGCAGCTCCTGCAGAACAGTGACATCGTGGACA